TAATCGACGAAGTCATTTAGACACTGCACGAGCCTGATAATTGATAAACATTCTACATGACGTCGAGGAAGCTGATTCGAGTTAAGATTTGAGATGCTTACTCATCCTCTTTGGTTCTTTCGGTAAAGTCACGTAGGTATAAAATAAAATAAATCACTGTTTTAAACAGTCTGCCTCAGCAGCAGACCATGCTTTCCCACCTGATGACGGACTCTTGTGTTGCGCCCGAAACGTCGTGACTTATTTTATTTTATACCTACGTGACTTTACCGAAATAACCAAAGAGTACGGATTCCTGCAGTCACGAAAGCTTCAAATCAACATTTGAGATCCTGTGTGGTATGAGCGATATGTTTACCAATCATCAGGCATGTGCAGCACGTAAAAGTTTTACATTTGAAATGAGATTTATGAATGTGAAAATGTGTACCGTGGTGGATGGCATTGACTGGAGTCTAGAAGGCGTTGACATTAATGTCATTAACAGTTTATTTCGTATACTCTACTCAGTTTATTTGAACCTGATCTCACGTCTCCTGGTTTTTGCTATCAATGTTATTAATTTACAGACAACACTCCATTTGGGTGTATGTGTACATTTCTGTTAATTCCTAAACTTACTGCCATTGCATACCACCTTGTCCCGAATGTAGAGTGTAGCCATGTGTAACAGACGAGGGATTTTTCCATGCGCGAACTCAATCCATTAATCGGCTCCACATAAACCAAAACTAAACTTTTTTTATTTTACCAGGTAAGGCCCACTGAGCTCTATAGCTCTTTATTCAGAAGCGACCTGGCCACAAATGATCGCTCAACAAAGTGGCTTATCACGTGGAATGTTATAGCAGCCAAATACTCTAAACAGCATGTTTCTAAATGTGGAGAGAAAACCCGGAATACCCGGAGAAAAATCCACGCGACTAAGGGGAGAATGAACATGCAAACTCCAAATATACAGGCGTCAGGGGTCGGGATCGGAATCGGGATCGAACCCACGTCCTTCTGTATACCAGGCGAGCGAGTTAACATCTCACCACCGTGGCGCCTCATATAAACATAGCTGGAATGCGCTGACTCGGCTCTTTAAGGCAGGTGTCTCCAGGATACAGAGGGACCTTTTGGATTTTAAAAGCAACCAGCCTAATACATTATAAAATCGTTGTAAGCTGTGACTTGCCTATGACCAAATCACCCGGAATGCACCGGAATTCATGAGACCTCGGAAGCTAAGCAGGATTTTAAGAGACCGCTATTAGTAAGACAGACTAGTGTCGCAGGCCGCTCTGAGGCTACGTGGTGAGCAACAGAGGACATTGCAGCAAAGTTCGTTGTTGTTACTGTGACTGTGATCGACTGTGTAAAGCTCTCCGTCTTCAGCAAGCAGCAATAATTAGCGTGGTGAAGAAATACGGTCCGATCAAACCCACCAGTTGCATGGTGAGGGTAGGGCCCTCATCCAGCAGTGGATGTACAAAGGTGCTGCACACGTACACGCGTTGGCTTTGCGCCCCGTGTCGTGTAAGTGTTATGTGAGAATTTCGGACTTTAATGCAGTGCTATAATTTAGAGGTGCAAAGTGCTCTAAAGAAAGTAAACACAGCCCCTTTCTTAAATACGTCCTTTCCACGACCTCGTTTCGGAGTAGTAGATCTCAGATCAAACTGGTAAAACCTGAAACTGGACTAGAGTTGGGAAGTCAGATTCGTATCGGTCACGAGCTCTTATCAGTTGCCTGGCAAGCATTTTGTCAGTGGAAAGCTTGGCTTCGTTGGAATAACACATGTAGATGAATAAACAGGGCGGTTTTATCGTTCCCTCCACTTATTATTTACCAATGAAAACCTGACTGAGTCTCATGACTCATTTTTAGGAGCATCCTGCCAAGTTTTCACAGTCTGGGGCGGCAATTGCTATGTTATCATCCCAATGAGTTTATTTTTGCATATTGATTTTTATTTGGCAAATTTGGACCATGACGCCACCACACAATGGCCCAACGTGACCTCACGATCAAAGGAAATGAGTAAAATCTTAGGTGTGCAAAACTGATTGCATGTAATGATGATCAGGTAGCAGCTTTTGCATGTTCTTAAAATATATTATTTAATAATGATAATAATACAATACGTTAAGTCATTTGTCAATACGCTGCTGGATGGAGGCCTACCCAAGACGTGTTGACCATACTTCACCATCTTTGGCTAGTAGGTGTTATTGTGGCTGGTAATCCGATGTTAAATCATCGAGTTCATCGTACAGTTTGCTAACCGCTGCGCCACCGCTCCACTCCATTCTTTGAAATATGACGTTGGATGATGCATAGGCTTCATATAGAGTTTGGTCGGAAATATTATCGTCTGCCTTACATGCGTGTGTGTGTGAAGCAGTTTGGCAGTGGTTTGTGAACTGCTCCACAATCCTAGCAAACTGAATTCGATTAATGACCAAGCACGTCAGCAGCAACACGCGGTGTCCAATGCCATCACGGGCTTCCCCCTGGGTCAATTAACTCAAATTAGTAGTTGGTGTGTTCTGTGAACATCAGCATGGGAGATACAACGGCGGCAGTGTATGGTGCAATGGACACCGGCTACTTTTGTGTCGTGCTAGTCTTAATAGTTCCCTGCTGACTGCAGTATCCCCTATAGTCTATAAGGCTAAATGGAGGACTTTTGCTTGCACTGTTTGCCAACATTGACATATTGATTAACGGTCAAACTGCCTGCGTCCTGTTTGGATTCCAATGTTTGTGTACAGGTACTAAAATCACATATCCATGCTTTTAAAGAGGGAACGAATACCCATGAGAATTTAATACAACAAATATAGTGGATGCATACATTGAAGGTTAACATAACAATACGATCATATGCTATTCCCTATTAATTCCCGCATCATGTGGTTTCAATTCATCTCAACATCGTATGGATTTAGTTTTTTTTCAAAAAAGGAAATGAGAATCGCGTAGATCATTCTGTCACATGGATCACTCACGCCTCGATCAAATTCTCACTGTGGGGGCTCTACATCAATGAGATTGAATAGGATCTCCCAGAGGATGCAGAATTGTCCAATTGCTATGACATAGGCTTAACATGTAGACTTTCGGAGCAAATATGATTTATAATCAGTGCCGGATTATCCTCGTAGCAAAAGTAGCATATGCTACGGGCCCCGCACTTTCAAGAGTCCCCGCGCTAAATGCTTTCAAGCTATCAAGTGATTCTGCACTTGCTCTATTACTATAGTACTATACTGCCTTCAACTTTTATGAACGACTGGGTGTTTAAGGTTAGCGATTTGTCGTATTATCTGGCTGGATAGCAAATGAAAAAATACAATGACTTTACTATGCAAGTAAAAAAAATTGTGTTTTAATATTTGTGTTTTCTTTTTAGGACCCCTTTATAACATATGCTACAGGCCCCGGACTAGCTTAATCCGGCACTGTTTATAATACATTTTTGGGTTAGGTCAACTTAACGATCTCACCAAATTATGTGTCGTGAAACCCTCCACCAATCTGACACAGCCAAACAAATAACACTGTCAAGTGTACACGTGTTTCGCTGGTAATTACCAGCGAAACGACGTACTCAAAAATTGTAAATGTTGTGTATTCACTCTTCAACACACCGGTGGGCTAAAGTAGTAAACTATTTATCTTTTGTCAACGTGACACTTTTTACTGATTGGCCGTGTCGGCTGGTGGAGGATTACGACACATTTATGAATAACGAGATCTAACCCAAAAACGTTATTACGAATAATATTGGTCGCGAAAGCCTACGTGTTAAACTGTTTTAACGTGCCGATTTTTTTTTGGGCTCGCAGGCATGTCGATGGGCATTTCTCACAATTGCTCAATTTGGTTGTTAGAATTTCTCTACTTCCCAGTGAGCTGAAACAATAACACGTGACGCGTTAAAACAGTTGCACACGTGACAATTAAATTTGTTTGGCTGTGTCGGGGTTTACGTTTTGAACATAACACAGATTTGTTCAGATCATTCCGTGGTCTAAACCAAATACACTTTTTAGCATTTAAAATCAGATGCTAAGCATAGACAGTCGGACTACAATTTGATGAGATAAACATGGCTTTCCACTTCACCATTCAAATTGCATGAGAGTGACAGCTTAGGTAGAGGCGCAGCACTACAATTACTTGTTTATGTCCCTGCTGGCAACAAAAGCCATCCACTAGAGGGAGCTCTACTCTTTCATACTGTGCAGACGTCTTGGATGAGGTGAAAGCACCCACAGTTTACCCCACCACACACCTAATCGATAAACTTCAGTGTGGCACCGTGGTTTGCACACTGCACGATGAACCCGGCAAACTTATACCACGGATTACATCATTTGCGAGCCATTATCTGATACAGTTTTAGCGCTGCAATCCACGAAACCCACAGTGACCTGCGTTGGGAAGTATGGTTAAACAACCCCCAAAAATAAACATTTTGTGTAGAAAGCCTTTAAAATTCAGCAGTGAGGTTGACCCCAGGGCTGTAAAAGTATATGACGGATTCAAGACCCATCAATTGTTGCGAAATCCAATGAGCCCCCCCACCCTCATCCCCCTTCGCTATCCATCGCTGACCAAGTGAAATCTCTACTTCAGCACACCATGCAAGAGGAACGTGTGGGGGGGGGGGGGCGCAATCGTGGGAGTGGCGTTCAGCAAGCAACCCGGGCAGCGGTCGGGCGGGGGGGGTGGAGAGGTGGGCGGTGACTTTTGGGCAGTGTGGGTGGTGGAATCGGTGGGTGGGTGATCTGTAAGAGAGGGTTGGGCCAGGGCGTGGAAGGGGGGGGGGCGTGCGGGGGGGGGGCGTGCGGGCGGGGGGGAGAGGAGGAGGGGGGGGGGCGTGGAAGGGGGGGGGCGTGCGAGTGGGGGGGAGAGGAGGAGAGGGGGGGGGCTTTTCGGAGTCGGCATTCCACGTTGGGGTTGCCACGGTGACGACGACCCAAGCTCTTGGGGTCCCTCTGTCCAATCGTGTTGGAGCGGCAAAGCGCGATCCACTCCAGACCGAAAGGGAAGAAAACGGCGGTGAATAGCGCTTCACAGACAGACAGACATCGCAGCCGCCGCTCATCTCGTGAGTCTTCTCCCCGCGCGGCGTAACGTGGCTACGGTCGGAGCTGAGCTCCGCTGGTTGGCACTGCCAACTCTTTCTCTCCCGACCAGCAGGCGCGCAAACAAATTTCACTCCGGCGGATTGCGGAGCCTCGGATAAAAACCCCCTCCTTCGTTCCCTCCTTCCTCCTCGTCTGCAACAAAAAAATTTGCCGATTCGTCCGATCGGAGCAGCTACCAGCTCACCGGCAGCGCAGTGAAAGGTGAGTTTAAAAACAACGTGATTTGCCCCCTCCTCCCTCCCTCCCTCCCACCCTAGCAACCTCCCTGCCTTGCGGAGTTTCTAGAGAAGCACGGGTGTTTGTCTGTGATATGCCCCGAGTGGTTCTGTGAGCCGAGCGCTGAGCATGATGATGATGATGAGAATGCGGCGCGATGCGGTGGGGAAGCTGCGCGCGTTTGGAGCGCCGAGCGCGGTTCACGGACTTAAAACTGGCAGGTGTAAAATGTGGCGTCTGTATGGTACACGCCTTGCACTGAATGGGGCATTGGTGGTGTTTTGACATACGCAAGTGTATATAACAGCATTATTATTATTACTCGCATATCAAGTTCAACATCAAGGGAATTATCCTGGACTGAAATGCAAAGGATCTGGAATGAAAGGTGGTCAAAAGCTTAACGAGTTCTTGAACTCATATTGGCTCGAAGTTTATCGTGGCAATCTGTGGTTGTTTAAAAAAGGGACACATGTGTTTTTTTTCTAGAAGCTGCCCTACCGTGTTACAACCAGTTGCTGCAGTATTCACTGTCGTTAAGGAACGATCACTTCCAATGGCGCCCTCTGGAATGCGTCGCAGCTAAATTCATTTGCGTTTCAACAACGCGCAAGACGCGCACGACCCACGCAATCTGGAATAAGAAACTTAATTTTGTTAAAAGGGCCCAAGAATTCATCACTCGCGGTCCAGTTGGTCTTCGATGAAAGCTAAAATGTAGCCACGCTGACGGCAAAACTGAGTTGCTAACCTTAAACTGTTGTTTATTTGGCTGATGGTCTGTTTCAGTGCGCTCGTCTGAAGGGGTCACTACCTGCCAATATGAGTGGCAGGCAATAATGCCTTCGTTCAAGTGGACCCACTCCTAGGCATGCCAGAGCAGTCTTTGTGGTACCACCTCCTGGTAGCGTACGGTTCATTTTGTTGCGATTTTGTGCACAGAACGACTCAAAAGCTGTTCGTCAGTGATGTGGTGTCGCGTGGACGTTTCGATTTTGCTTAACGTGTTTTTTTTTATTTTCAATCATTGTTAGAATTTCTTTGAAAGTTACTCTGACACAACATTAAATGCCGTCTGACAGTTTGCAAAATCCATAATACAGTTTTTTTGGGTTAGATCGCGTGAATATAAATGTGTCGTTAAACCCGCCACCACCCGACGCAGCCAATTAGTAAGGTTTGTTACGTAAACAGAACATGCCAATTCGTTACTAGTACAGTACACCGGTATGTTGCAGAATAAAGCAAAAACATTTACAATCGGGCAACAGCCTGATGAGGCTAGTTGTAATTACTGGCGAAAAGTCGTATTCAGATTGTAAATGTTGTGGCTTTGCTCTCCAACACACCGGTTAGTACTATACTCGTAACGAATTGGCACGTGGCAAACCCCTTACTAATTGGCTGTGTCGGGTGGTGGCAGGTTTAACGACACATTTATATATTTATGCGATCTAACCCACAAAAACACCAGTATTATGGATGATATTGGTCGCGAAAGCAGACGTGTTAAACCAGTTTGCAGAATGCTTGGAAGAACTAAACTGACCTCAAGCCTTTAAATTTAGAAGCTGATCCATTTATAGACACCCCACTAAATAATAAGGGATAGAGGTGAGTTCCGATATAAACATTTGGGGTTATGGATTTTTAAGGAATATTTTTATTTTCAGATTATTTCCACGATGCATGAATCTAAATATATATTGGTGCTTGCACTAGCGATGTCACCCGATGCCACGTCCCACCACTATTGCCAGGAAAAGCACATCCATTCCATCATACTCGTGAGATCACTTCCAGTTTTCGGATCGGACTAAAACAAACAAAAACATCATCGGATTGTACAAATGTTCTCATGTAGTATGTCGGAATTTTAGATATATTTGCTAAATCAGAAAATTTGGAGCACATCTATTCATAGGGAGACGGATAAAACAGTTTTGTTTTGAAGCATCTCCATAATCTCCCACCAATCTCAAATCACTTTTAATTTTTTCTAAAAACTCTCCCCCCGAGGACATGCAAACATCGCTTTCCCAATATGGAAGCGATGGTTTTCAATATTGGACCCAGTAAGAGGCTCATTAGGAATCGGTGGGGGTGTTGATAAATGAATCGCCCAGCATTGTTCCACCATTGATGTGGATTTGCATGGCTTTAAACAGAGGGCTCTATAGGACTTTTCGCGTGAGTGCCACCCACTGGTGAACAGTGGGTCACTCATGTTTGCTGTCGGATGTTTTAGTCGGCAGCTAGCACCTGCACAGAATTAATTCGACAAATCACAATTAACATTGGCTGTGTGAGAAATGCGTGCTAATGGACTAGGTGACATCCTCACTTAATTTTCTTTTACAGCAGAAGACGATCACAGCACGAATGTAGAGAACATACATATATGCCCTGGTCTGTTTGCTCAGAATCCCCAACCTTTATTGTTGCGTGTGAAAAAAATATGGTGCACATGCATTGCTGCCACTCGCTGATAAATATACTTCAAATGAGAAGAACATTTTAAATGCAATTGTTGTCTAGTAGCATCCTTTACAGATTGCATTGGCAATTTCAGTGATTTTTTTTCTCGTGTGCATGGCATGATAGGGTTTTGCATTATGTATTTATCCAACCGCTGAATTTATTTCAGCTTCTTTATGCACCGGGATGCCTTGAATTGAATTATGAGCAATGTCTGCCGTGTTTAGCTGCACAAATTTATGCAGTCATAGTTTCCAAATGTATTTTATGTACGCTATATTAATTAGCAGCCCTTTATCAATACGCCACTGGATGAAAGCCGAATGGCGTGTAGGTTAAGGTAGAGAGAGCCCTGTAATTTCTTACCAGCAGTGGCATGAGCAAAAGAGCTTCCACGGATTAGCACGGTTGGCTACATGCAGTGCTAAAGAAGTTCAACATACATAAACCAGAGGGTACTCTAGAGAGCCCTTGTGGAGGGTGTTTTGGCCTACTTTCCCATGCTGATGTATGTATGTTGAACTTCTTTCGCACCGTATGTAGCCAACCTTGCTAATCAGAGGTGCGGTGGAAAGGACAATAAACTAAACACAGTGTGCTGACCATTACATCATGGCAGCATTGTCGTATATACTTTGGTATAATGTTTATATTTTAATTCCCCAGGGGGATTTACTTTATTCATGAATCAAATCAAAGTGTCTTCTTGCTCAAACCGCATTTGGGGTAGATCGCGGTATAAATTCCGCATTTACTCTGGCGAAGGCCAATCTCTCCAAAGGACAGCCACTGCCTGGGTTTCAATTCCTAATACACGTGTTCTTTATATGCGATGTTACCTTGGTGCAATGTGGACGTTTTCAGTCGATGGGTGTACAACATCGCCATCGTAGTCCGCAGAACGTGCGGTTCTGTGAACCGTACTCGGGCAGGTGGCTGAGTCCACAAACGTCATCATCGATGACGCTGGTGGACTCAGTGTCAACGTGCTGTACAGTTCTCCTGCAATGCCCGGCCAGTGTTTCGGCATCTGTCGATCATACGAGTCCCTTGGACGGCAGACTGGGCTATTTATGAATGTGATTTTGCCACAGTCAAAATGCAATTATGGGCGCCTTACTTGTCAGCGGCACTATACGTATTCATACTTTTAGACGTAAAATCTAAGGGCCTTTGCTTCAGTCTGGCACGTAGCCCTTGGCTCTTTTGCATCTGACGAGAAAACCCCATCTTGATAGATTAAAAGTGTGGGCCAGAAAATCATAAATTTCAAACAACACCGCAGCGAAGACGCATGTACAGAGCACACACAGGCTCTGTGCATTACGCAAAAATGTCATCCTTTTGTCGTAGGTTACCATCACATATGTGGTTTTCAAAGGCAGACTTTGCAGCAGTCTTCTTCTTCATATGGCTGATGTATATTGAGAGCAACAACTACAATTCCACAATCAGGTGGTCAAGCCAGATAAATGCGTCACGAACAGCGGAGTGTATAATCGCTGTGATGTCTCCTTCGTATTTGTGGATCGGACATTGCATCATTATATGTTGTACGGTCTGTTCGGGATGACTACAGTCGCACACTGGAGAGTTTTTATGTTCCTATTTGTGCATCAAGTACTGTATATGCATCTGCCATGGTTCGTGCAGTGGATGTGGTTTATGGTGGACCTTGAGCTTCATGGCAGATAAAACCCAGGGATCTTCTACGTTGGCTCAATGCTCACTGCATCGCTCCCTTTTTACTGCAGCAGTGAGCATTGACTGTATTGCACTGGTGAGTTCTAATAAGAATTAAACCGGTGTGCAGTTGTCTCTGTATCACTGCTCCCTGTCAGTCCCTGATTGCAGAACCACCGCTAGCCGGCTCTGTGAGCTGGCTGGGGGAGCGATGCCCATTCCCGCCGGCGATGCACGTCTCGAATATAGCGCTGCGCTACAATTGCTGGAGTTTGCAGAATGTTGCAAAGATCCTCATGCGTACGACACGCTCACCGGCGATGGAGCGAGAGAGCCTGTAGGGTGGTAGTAAGCGAGTAGGTATGCTGAGCTGTTATAGAATTCGAGCGTTATCATCAGTCTTGATCAATTCACTGCCAGATGAAGGTCTGCCCAAGCTGCCACCATCGCTCACAGCTCTGTGGTGTAACGATCCACGTAGCACCTTTTTCATTGCTCAATCTCCTTGGTCGACGTCCTCTCGGGCACGTTCCTCATACCCATGGGCTATTTCTGATTTACTGCGGTGTTCTCTCGCATTCAAAACTTTCTCTGTTTCGGTAACTAGCCAAACACCTCAATGCAGGACCCTCCTCATAGGGAGTCTTGTGGCTCGCTCAGGTTTCCCTCGGTAAATACCGTAGCTGCACTAGATAAATACATCCACGTGTCTGGAGAATTCCTGCACTACTGCTGTGCAAATTTAAATAAATGAGGTTTAATTTGAATGCCTATGGTATGATGGTTTATGTGCACAAGGTTGAAGTAATGAAATAATTTGACCT